AAAAAATCTCTTTTTTAATGTGGTTATAACCGGAACCGCAACAAAAATATATTTTTGATGCATTTCTTGGTGAAATCTCTTTAATATAATTATTATTTTTTATTTAATTTCTGTGTCACTTATAAGATATATGGTTTGAAAAGGGTAAAGGTAGACTTTGCTTGTTTCTAAAAACATAGTTTGAGGGATACTTTGAACCAAAGAAAAGAGTGATATATACTTTCGGCCTATTATAGTTGAGGAATTTATTTGCCCCAAAAAATTGGATTACACTCATCCTCAGAGTTTTTAACTATTCCCGGAAATATTTATAGAGCAAAAATAATTTTAAATAATACGGAGTACAAATTATCGTTGATGAATCAAGAATAATACGTACTTTGAAAGTAACTTTTAAGTTTTAATAATACCAATTAATTGAATATGTAACAGAAGTGATACCGAGCAATTTTTCAATAAAAGTCAGTCATTTAATTCACCAAAAACTGATACTAAAATATCAAATTAGTAACCTTAATTTCAAATATCATTTCTTTGAAGGTTTGATATCATGTTTTGGTGTCCTAAATGATTGGATTTCTTATTGAAAAGTGACTCCATATTATTTTTGTTATATATTCAAATAGTTGGTATTATTAGAAATCATTTCCAAAGCATTCATTATTATTGGTTTATGGATGATAGTTGGTATTATTTAAAGTTACTTTCCATATAATATATGATCAATGAATGGAACAATATCCTTTTGCAAAAACGGGTACTATACTAGTTTATTTTACGAGGGAAACCCTCATCTCCAATTGCTATTTGACGTCTTTGTATCACAGACTCAGCATGTTGGCAGAAGCATTTTCCTTGGGAATCCACCGTTGGTTCAAGTCAAAACTAAAGCTCCCACCTCTGCACCTCAATTCACACTACCTTAGCTTGCCCGACCTGAGCGTAGATGATTCCCCCGCGAACCACTTTGAATCCGCCCTTACTGATTGCACTCCAGTCTTGAAGTCCAGTTCAAGTGCCGCCGCTCAAGAAATTCAGACCATTCTCAAGCGTCACGGTGACAAATCCATCACTGGGTTGCACATCTCCCTCAGCGAGAGCGTGTTCTCCTTAACAGATGAGTTGGTTCTTGATGTGATTAAACGGCACCGCTGTGATTGGAAACCGGCATATGCATTCTTCAGTTGGGTGTTGGAAGGTGGAAATATTCGCAAGGGATACTCGCCTGGGAGTGCTGTTTACAACCAAGTTATCGACATCCTTGGGAAAATGAGACGTTTTGACGAGCTGAACCAGGTGCTCAACGTAATGACTGAAAGAGGAAGCGTGTTCACTGAAAGAACATACGGGATTGTTGTTAATAGATACGCTGCGGCCCACAAAGTTGATGAAGCTATAGGTTTTCTCTACAAGAGGAAAGACTTTGGGCTAGAGATAGATTTGGTTGCTTTCCAAATCCTTTTGATGTCTTTGTGCAGGTTCAAACATGTGGCGGCCGCCGAATTCTTGTACCATAACAAGAAAAAGGAGTTCAGGGACGAGATAAAAACACGCAACATAATCCTGAATGGTTGGTGTGTTCTGGGTAGCTTGCGCGAGACGAAGCGGTTTTGGAACGATATAGTGACTTCTAACTGCAAACCAGACAAGTTCACATATGGGATATTCATCAATTCACTGTGCAAGTCTGGAAAAATATCCACGGCAGTGAAGCTGTTCCAAACAATGTGGGAAAAAGGGTGCAATCCGGACGTGGCTATCTGCAATTCCATTATAGACGGTTTGTGTTTCAAGAAGAGGATACCCGAGGCACTTGTGATTTTCAGAGAGATGAACGATAAAGACTGTCTGCCAGATTCTGCCACTTATAATTCCCTGATCAAATATATGTGTAAAATTGGTAGGACAAAGAAAGCGTATGAGCTTTTGGGGGAGATGGAACAAAATGGGGGTGATTGTTCACCAAACGCTAGAACTTACAGCTACTTAATTAACTCTGCCAAGAACCAAGAGGAAGTAACTCAGGTTCTGGAACGAATGGAGAAGCAGGGATGTGGGATGATTGGGGACACTTATAATTTGGTGTTGAGGGTGTATATGAGTTGGGGTTGTTATGGAAGTGTAAAAAAAATGTGGGATGAAATGGAAAGAGCTGGGTCAGGGCCAGATCAACGGTCATATACAATCATGATTCACGGGTTGTATGAGAAAGGAAGGCTAGAGGATGCATTGTGTTATTTCACTGAGATGACATCGAAGGGGATGACGCCAGAATCTAGGACAAGATTGTTAGTGAATGCCATCAGCATTACCTTGAAAGACAAAACAGTTTTATCCAACACTGCTCAGAGCAATGGCCTTCATCAAAGTCCAAAAGACCTGTGCTTACTTCAAGCGTTTTCAGGTCAAATTCAAAAGGAGAGAGGGAAAGACTGACTATCGAGCTAGAACTAGATTGATCAATCAGGACAACGCACCAAAATACTGATTTGTTGTCCGATTTACCAACAAGGACATTATTGCTCAGATTGTATCAGCCAGTATAGCTGGGGACATGATTGTTGCATCAGCGTATGCTCATGAACTTACTCAGTTTGGCCTTGAAGTTGGCCTAACAAATTATGCTGCAGCATACTGCATTGGGCTTCTGTTGGCTCGCCGAGTCCTCAAGAAACTCGAGATGGATGAAGATTATGAAGGAAATGTTGAGGCTACTGGGGAAGACTACTCTGTGGAACCTGGTGAAAGCAGGAGGCCTTTCCGTGCTGTCTTGGATGTCGGTCTAATCCAAACAACCACTGGGAATCGTGTCTTGGTGCTCTGAAGGTTGCTTTGGATGGGGGACTTGACATTCCTCACAGTGACAAGGGATTTGCTGGATTCAATAACGATTCAAGCAACTTGATGTTGACACTCACCGCAAGTACATCTATGGAGATCATGCTGTGGCATACATGAACAGTTTGATGGAAGATGAACCAGAGAAGTACCAATCTAATATATCAAAAAGGGCATTGAGACAGACAACATTGAGGAGATTTACAAAAAGGTTCATCTGCTATATGTGCTGATCCTTGCCCAAAGAAGACCAAGAAGCAGCCTCCTATGGAGCACAAGAGGTTCAACCTGAAGAAACTAACTTTTGAGGAGAGGAAGGCCAAGTTGGTAGAGAGGCTCAACACTTTAAATGCAGCTGCAGGAAATGCTGATGACGATGATGATGAGTGAACAATATGAAAAGAACATTGTCCACCTATTTCCAAATTGTTTTTTCTAGTATTTTAATCCGAAGTTATGACTCAATTTTGCCTGATGCATGTCTTTCCCTTCCGTGAGTGGATTTTGGATTTGTATCATCTGCTCCTATATTATTTCTTATACCTTTTTCCTGCTCTCTAAAAAAAGACAAACCTGTTGTTTCTAAGAAGGTGGCAGACTGGCAGCCAATAAGTAACCTATATTCAGTGTTTTTTCATCAACACTGGGTGATTAGAAGTAAATCTGAGTTATTGGAACACTGAATATTGCTAAACCAACCGTCAGGCCTTTCTACATCAAAACCTTTATATGCCGCATAACTCTTTGAGTGTTTGATAGAGTCGAGATGTGTCTTGGGAGTTATGTGACATTTGTTGGTTTGTTGTTCACTTGTTCCTTTTATATTTCCCACTTTTTGATGTTGCGACATTCTCCAATGTGTCTTTGTGTCAATCTCCCATGTTTATTTTTTATTCTAAAAAGAGGTAATGAATGCAGAACCATGACAAATTAAAATGACATGCAAATACTAATATAATTGCGTACATCGCGTAGTTTTGAAGAAAATATAGTCAATATACAACATACGGTAGCAAATTAACTAAGACACCGAGCAAATAAAGAACAAAACAAATTAAAATGGTATTTAAAGACTAACTCATATGGTTTGGTAGCAAAATCCACTATTTTAAGGAAATTAGGAGTTACCTTACAATAACATAGATTAATTTTAATAATAAATGCTTTATTTGAAAATAAACACCCATTTAGAGAGCTTTTTGTATAGTTAGAAAGCACGTTAACAAGATTGAATAACTAATTTGAAAATAGGTTATATTATTAGAGCACAACATGGAAAAAAATTAATCAATTTTCTAAATTGTGATCCCACAATGTCCTTTTTGCTGCATTGACTTACTCCCTTGATTCTGATATGAAAAATCAAGTGGTTACTTCATATTCTTATTACCGGAATATTTGCAAATATGAGATTTAACAAGTTTCTTTCATGTGTCTTCATGTCTTGATAGATAATTAAAACCGCTCAAGACAATAGACATTATCCCGCTCAAGACTCAACCTCTTCAAAAATAAGTGCTAGTAGACATTATTATTCTACTCAAGGCTTCAAAAACATGCTTTAATATCCCAGACGTTTTAGGAGTTTAAGGTCAAGCTAAGGCAATGATGCACTGACTTGAAGAATGAAAACATTCTCTTTTAATAACAACAATCTGAATAATGTATATTACCCTATTACTAAGAAAGAATCACATAGTAATGATTCCTAAGGGACCAAACCAAGTCAAACTAGACAAAATAGACCATACAAATTGAGCACAAAAGAAGACAGCCTAAATTATGACCACTTGCACTGTTGGAGAAACAGCCTGCCCTTGCAAATGTTGATGAATAACGTGTGATGTGCTCTTATCAAATGTTGGAGTAGACTTTGCATGTCGCAAATAACTAAGCTCCGTGCAACCTTTGTTAAATGTTGCAGTATACCACAGAAAATCCCTTCCTAACACCATGCTCTCAAGAGCTAAAGCACTTTTCAGGATATATAATACCAAAGAAATTTCGTTCTCCAAACCATGGAACCCACCAAGTTCTACTTCTTTTAGATGAAGATGATTTATGGGAGATAGACTCCTTGGACGAAGTGGTCTGGGTGCTCTTACCGCCCTTTGCTGTACACATAGAAATTTATCATGATTACCCACAATGAAATAGCTAGAAGATTAACATCATATTTTGATATACTCTGGCTTTGTTGTTTGCAGGAAAACTAGCCAATGATTTCCTGGAAAATGAGATGTTTTACTGCTTGTAGGTACAAACAAATGTAATGTTTTACCCACAAAATAGAAAGAAAATTAAAGAACTGGGAAAGTAAAAAGGGTTTTCAAAGAAAATGACTTCCCCTTTTCAAAAGATGGAACTAGGGCATGCTAGAGCTCAATAAGAATGCACTGTCTCAAGTTCGAGCTAGAGCTCGAACGAGCCTAATAATTTTGGTCCGAGCTTATTCGTGCTCGGCTCGAGTTCGAATTTGAGCTCGAATGTGAGCTAAAATATTTCTATGTTTGAACTATTAATATTATATTGGAAAAATTGACTGCAATAATCCGAACTATTACCCGTCCGCTTCTAATAATCCCTAGTACGTGTTATTTATGTTTAATCCAAACTTTGGGGGTGTCTTCCATAATTAGACTGCAACCGGTTATATTAATTAGAGCCGGTCATGAATAATCACGTGATGGGTCACGTGTGTATTTAATACTCCCCTTCGATTTATACAAATTATACTTCGTATATCTTTATCTTCTTCTAATCTTCTCTCGTCCAACATATACGCAGACTTCTTCTGTTCTTGCCTGCAAACACAAATTACAGATCTGGTGTTCAACGTCTGGTCCGAGAAGTCACATATGAGTTCAGCGTCTCGGACATTGTCTTGGGGAGGGAGGGACGCAACCCAGAGCGAGTATTTAGTCAAATGCCACCACAAGGTGTTTTCAAAACCTAGAATCGTCAAATCTGGAGCAAATCGTGGTCAAAGATTTCATGGTTGTGCACTATGGCCGGTAAGTTGGACTGATTTGTGAATTATATATGAATTTATTGAATGAATTTATTTCTGAATTATGGGCCTTTTTTAGAAAGCAGATTGCTCGTTTTTTCAATGGGTTGCGGATTATCCACCTTTTGGAGTAGATGATTACAAGAAAAGGGAAAATGATAGACCAATTTACCATGTTGATGACGAGAGAAGTGGTTTGGAAGAGAAAATTGCGAAGTTGAAAATGAAGACGAAAAAGCTGAAAGAAAAAAATGAAGAGTTGCTGGGATTAGTTTGCAAGCATGCAAAAGGAGAAAAGTATTCATTTATGGCTTTGATTGTCTCCTGGATTGTGTTTGTTGTTGTTTTGTATGGGAAATGAAAGTGATAATTGAATTAGTGTTGCTGGTGTGGGTGTTATTAGAGTAATAAGTGTGTCAAAGTGTTGTATGGGTAAGCAGAGTGTTGTGTTTGCAAAAAGTTGTAACTTGTAACCGAATTTGGGATCCATTCCTGTATTTGTATCAGACTATTATGAATGGAAAGTTTATGTGTTCTCACCATTCTTAAGCTGAAATTATCACACACAAAACCAACTGAAAATTGTGTGCTCTCACAACTCTTAAATCTGAATTTACCACACTCAAAAGCAGGTGTAAATGTATATGTTATGACCACTTTTAAATATGAAATTACCCTACTCAAAACCAACTGAAAAAGTATGGACTATTACAACTCAAAAGAAACTGAAAAGGTTTGTGAAATTGGGCTAATCACCACTCCAAAGTTAACCTGGTCACTTTCAAAAGTACTTTCATATTAACTACAAAATGTTCTTTCAAAAGTGGAAAGCAAACCTGATGTTTCAAATTAAGCAGACCCGAAATAAAACATAATGAAAATGTACTAATCAGGACTGAAAACCAACTGCTGTAAATCTGAAATTAGCACACTGAGAACCAAGAGAAAACCAAGTGAAAACAAAAAGAAAACCAATTGTATTAAATCTGAAATAACCACATTGAAAACCAACTTAAAACCACCTGAAAACCAAGTGAAAACAAAAAGAAAAAACAACTATATTAATTCTGAAATAACAACATAAAAGCAACATAAAACCCACTGAAAAGCAAGTGAAAACCAACTGAAAACCAAATGAAAATAAACTGAAAAGCAAGTGAAAAACAAATGTATTAACTCTGAAACAACCACATTCAAAACCAACTGAAAATCAATTGTACCATATTTGATATAACCACATTGAAAACCAACTTAAAACCACCTGAAAGCCAAGTGAAAAAAAAGAAAACCAACTGTATTAAATCTGAAATAATCACACTAAAAAGGAACATAAACCCCACTGCCTATTAGGGCAACTGCTTACTATAATGCTAGGAAGAGTGACGAGTTCACTTAAAACCACCTGATGCTCATTATTTCATAAACATGAAACATGAAACCATGATCATTTGTACAATAAACATTTGTATATTAGCAGGGTTGCTCCAACACACATTAAACCATGATCATTATCCATAGAAATATTCATCATTATCCTTAAAGGATACAAATGTGATACACAAGAAATATCCATACATAAGTAGATTATCCTTAGAACATTATCCTTACATTACCACAAATACAGAAACATGAAAGAGATGAAATAAAACTTCATCAGTATCCTTACAACCACAATAACAGTTAACACAACACTACTATATTGAAAAACACCAGTCCTCTTCACTCCTTCATTGTTGAATAGCCACTTCATGTTTGTGACAGATTTGTTGGCCCTCCTTGTACATTATACATTTCCCTCACCTCAGCATCAAACTTAACACTTCTCAAACCTGTCTCCAAAGTCTTACCAGGGACCAAGTAATAGATTTCATCTATGCTACTATATTTCCCACACTGGCCAGCTAAGTTCATCAGCATCCAAATCAAAACATCTAAACTGACCACCAGCATACTCTAAATTTTTTCTACTATCCTTCTTAAATGTACCTCCATGCCACATCTTCAAAGTAACCACACTATTTAAAGCCATTCCCTCTTCAGTATTTTACAATCTAAAATTAGAACACAAAAAGGAAGTACATTTAAAATCTACCTTAATCTAAAAGCAAAAGAATTCCAGGAAACAGTGTTCCCGCTGAAATCCATCGCTATCTGCTTGCGTTGCTTTTTTTTGGCTTATTGCGTTATGCGTTATTGGGTTATTGCGTTATATTGCGTCATTTTTCCCTCTGTCTTATTCCGCCGTTGCAATTGGAGCGTTTGAGAGGTGTGAACAGTTGAAGGTAATTTTCAAGGACTCTTATTGGTCTACATGGGCGGTTGCACAGTGTCTCCAACTGGCTGCCCATACTTGCAAGTTGAAGCTCTATTACTCCTTCATTAGTCACTTCTTCTGATGTGAAGACTCAACCTAAAGCTAAGTGACCCACGGTTGATAGTGAACCAAGGTTGATAATTAAAAATTGGCTATAAATATAAACTTCTACACAGGTTCACTCACACCAATCCGCTTGAAACAGCTTCTCAATTAGGTCTCCGTTTTTTTTTTTTATCATGAAAGCTACTTCGACAAAATTATATTATGAGGAGGTTCTACGTGTTAAATGTTCTAATATAGATCTTTATTTGAATAAAAATTTGTGAGTTCTATATCTGATTAATATCTTGAGGGTTTTATTCCTATTGTGTAGGTATTACCTTGATGACTTTATTTTTACTGAAATTACAATACATTCTGCAGGGATACAATATCCATGCCCAGATTCTAGAGCAACTCATAGCCAAATTTCATAGGCTGTTCAGGGAAGGACGTGTGTTTGAGGATATACTACTACGTATATATTTATCAAAACTACCAATACTGCTTTAACATGGATAAACATATTTGGACAAGCTTAAACATGAAATCCATGAAAGTAAACATATGCTTATGAACTTATTCAGAAGCCAATATATATCGACCAAAAGATTGTTCTGATTTTCATTTGTTGTTTCCAGTAGCAGTACAAGTATGAGTTCCCTATACGTGTTAAGCAATATCAGTTCCCTTTGTGTCAAATACAAATATTTACCGAAGAAATTACATCAATAATGCTACTAGAGTAGTTGAAGTTCATACCAAGCATACAAATAAGCGGTTAATTCAACAATACATTTTTGTAACTATAGGTCAGATCATTCAAAAAATGATGTAAACCCAGCTTTTTATAAGAATAGTTGTTTCCTAAAGACAGAAGATTGTGGACAAAGTTCGGAAAGTAGCTGCACATGTATTTTAATCTGTTTTTTAAATTAAATTAAATTATTTAATTATTTATGGATATTTGTGAATATAGAAATCAGTAAAAATACCCTATTTTATTAATAAGTTTATTAAGTATTAACACGTTGACAACTATTTGCAAAAGTAAAATAGCATTATCAAAACCTTTCGTTCGTATTCTACCCAAAATGCAACTTATTTAAAAGATCCTACGTAAAAAGTTCATAAATGCCATATTTAACACATAAACACCATGTGTGTAAAGAGATGCTTAGATTTTTTGCTAACAGGAATATTTGAAGGGTGCAATCATCATTGAATATATAGGACACACTTTTGCAAAATCAGGCTTGAATATAAAAAGTAGCAGTAACATACCTTTTCTTCAAAGTCAAAGCTTTCAGAAACATAATTTGTACAAATAGATTGCAAATGTTAGACCATAAAAGAGAAACAGAGAGAAAGGGAGTTTACCTAAATCTGAAATTCTTTCGGGTTGACACCGTTTTTAACATCTCAATCACTGATAATAAACAATACCTATCCCCAGTTATTGAGATGTACAGCATCGACATGCTTGCTAACATCTCATATTGCAAACTATTATTGTTTTTGTACAGATCTTGGCCGTTCACCTAAATCTGAAATGTAATCGGAATTAACAGAGGTTGTTTCTTGGGTAGTGTGCATGTGTCGGTGTAAGGAGAGCCACTTAGAGGAGGCAGAGGACCGAGAAACACCAAAGCGGCGGGATGAGGATTAGGAAGGCGATGTTGCAAAGAGTAAGAAGAAGAGAAAGGGGTGCGAAAAGGTTTGAGAGGCTACCAGAACATTAAGAAATTAGGAAGATAAATTATCTTTTCCTTTATTAAAGGACGGATAAGTATTTCTTAAAAAACAAAATCAACGTCAAGTTGCTCAAAAAATAATTTTCGCACTTACGTAATAATGGCTTCATTTTTTAAAAAGGTAATTAATCTATTTAAAACAATCCTTAATTCTACATCAGAATAGGCATTTGGAATCCACTGATGTCTCTTTAGTTCCTATTTTAATTATAGATATAGATTACTTCTGTTTACTACTTCTGTCGCGTTGAAAGGTTCTCATTACAAAATGACATAATTATTAATTAATAATTATTTAAGGTAGTTCAGGTATATTTTGAGAAATAATTTTAATAAGTATATACTACGTAATATATTGGGGTTAGTGTTGATAATTGTAATGTTATAAATGTATTATTTTAATATTTAATAACTAATTTATCAGTTAAGATTATTAACTATTTCCTAAATTGAAAATAAGAACCTTTAAATGAGACGTCCAAGGAGGAAAGTGTGAAATGTTTCAAGGTTCTAATGTTATAACCTTGAAATTATTATACTTTTACAATGACTAGCTGATTAGCATGTAATTAATCGAATATGGCGCTCTAAAAAAATAATAGTTTAAACCTTTTTATTATTTACGGCATCATAGATTAATGAATAGCCGTTTTAAAGGTCTCGAGTTCGAAATTCAATAGATTGAATTTCAGTCCAATTTAATCCATGTCCTCCAACCCCTCCACAGACACCCCTTGAGTAAAGAAAAATAGAGCTCTATATGACGCAAAAGGCATAATATATATGAAGCGGCCCAGTTCAATATACAGGCTCATCAACATATTTTGTGACCTGGATTCATCATGAAATTAAGATACCCAGATATGTCAAGATATATTTAAATTGAGCCTCAAGAGTAATTATTATTTAATTTGGAAAAGGTGCCAAAATATATCTGATTTATTAGAATCAGAAATAGTAGTCTTTCCAAAATGTAACATTTTCATTTCTCTGTTGTGTTTTAAAAATTGATGTATAACACTTTTATACACAAAGGAAGTATAGTATTTCATTTCTCACAGATTCATATTTGGGTATTGTTTAATAATGTCATAACACACTTCACATATTTGCAGACTCCCTTGATTTGCCAATTCACACGGGCAATCCGTGTAAAAAAAACAATTCGTATAAATGCAGTCACCGTATTATTTGAGATGTTTATACCTAGACTTATTCCAGTCTCGAACCAAATCACACTTAAACAAACTAGACCCGACCATACTTGGATATTAGAAATTGTAGAAGCACATATTTGAACATTTCCCACAAATTTAGATTCAAGTATAATTCAAGAATGACATAACACACTTTCACATATTTTACTCTCTTATTATTTTACCTATTTAGAGAGACCATTCTCAAACCGTGCATCGCACGGGTGAGTTTACTA